GGGAAGGGGAAGGGGAAGGGGAAGGGGAAGGGGAAGGGGAAGGGGAAGGGGAAGGGGAAGGGGAAGGGGAAGGGGAAGGGGAAGGGGAAGGGGAAGGGGAAGGGGAAGGGGAAGGGAAGGAAGAGAGGGGAGAGGGGAGAGGGGAGAGGAGAGAGGAGAGAGGAGAGAGGAGAGAGGAGAGAGGAGAGAGGAGAGAGGAGAGAGGAGAGAGGAGAGAGGAGAGAGGAGAGAGGAGAGAGGAGAGAGGACAGGACAGGACAGGACAGGCAGACAAGCAGGCAGGCAGGCAGGCAGGGAGGGAGGGAGGGAGGGAGCCAGCGAGCAAGGGACTTAGGGAGTGGGCGCGGGTCCATGCAGCCACGAGTCAATAAAACCAAGGAAAAGGTTGAGGTGGCGAAAAGCATACAAGCCGTAGTAGCTTGCAGCAACCACTGGTTGCCACCTCCAGTGTACATCTCGACCCCGAAGTCCAAGGTCTGCTGGTGTCCGATGTCCATGCCAGATATGCCTTCTGCTCCATCACTATCGGTCAGAAACAATGCCTGGTATAGATTTAGCAAAACCTCAGCTTGCAGCTGTCCTTCCGACCCACCCCAGAAAACCAGAAGCGGGGAAAACTGGAACTGTCTGGACAAACATGTTCTCATTGCTTGGAGGAGGACGTGGTGGGGCTATCTATCAGTAAGGGACAGTGCATAGTACAAGAACCACACATCAGGAACAATCTAGATGGATTCGGTCAAGTCGAAGCTACGTAGGCAACACTTCGGTCATCATCCTTCATGGTCAGAAAGGTAAAGGCAAAGGTCACAAACATCATTCCTCAGTCAAAAGCAAGCTGCAGCAAGAGAACCTTTCCGACTGCTCACACAGGAATGCCGAAGCCGCCAAGGCACCCATAAAGGTAAACATGCCGATCATAGGGGCAAAGGACTGAAGAACGGCGATGATGAGAGGCCCCACCACAGGAACCACACGGAATTCCAAAACGATCCAGAAGCACCTGAAAGCATCACAAACATGCAACAACAAGCAGCTGATTTCCTTCCACATTCGCAACCCTTCCCGGCCGCACCTCAGGAGGATGTTCACAGCTGCCAAAACTTTGGCCTCTGGGGTGTTCACTGGATATTTTGTGGTGGCCAGGATGATGAGTGCAAACCTCAGCTAGGATAGCATTGACAAGCTTTGAGTGCAACAAAATACCAGTACAGCCGCTTCCCTGCACACATTCGTGGTGACGGTGATTGATTGATACCTACATCATCTTCCTCTATGAGCTGCCTGTATATTCAAGACACTTGAGGTAGTTTCTGGAGCAACTCCGTCAACTACTCATGCCACATCTGCCAGCATAAAGCTCCTTTTTGTCTAGCTCATGGAAGGGAAATCAAGAGCTCTGCAGCACTGTACAGGCGGTTCTTCAACAGGCCCTGAATTTGCTTCTCATGCTGTTCACGGTGTCCATCAAGGTCTGAGATGGAGCTTTCTTCCCTGGCAACTCTGGTTGCATGTATTGGTCATCGGTGGAGACTCGGGCCTTGGGCATCTCCTCCTCCTGCAGGATCTCCTCAACCTCGAGGTGTTGCCACCGGTGCCGGCGCTTGAAGCTCACATAGGACCAGTAGACAAAGACGCAGCTGCTGGCAGCGATGAAACTTGGAACGAAGTTGCTGGCCCGCTCAGCTAAAACACCAGTCATCAGGAGCACGAAAAGAAACAGGCCTGGAAAATACGCACATGTTTGCTTCACAGGTCCATTTAGTGCGACCGAAAACAGCAACAATACTTGCCAGAGAAAACAGCAAAGCATGTTTCTACATAATGACGTCCTTTCAATTCGGCCGAATGGTTGCCAAACATGTTTCGTTTCAGGAGCGTCCAGCCGCCTTGTTGCACCTGCTCCAAGCTGGTTACCCAAAACACGCCACCGAGATCGGATTTCTTCTCCTCCACCCAAACAAATAGAAAGCCGTGCATTGTTCGGCAAACAGCAAACATCCAAAAGCCCAGGATGGAGATCAATGGCGAGAGCGTGCAAAAGGTCAAAACTGTGGAGAGTTGCAGTGCAGCACGGGCCGATCTGGAACCCATCCCAAGGAAGTCTGGATCTTCGGGCTCCGACTTCTGCTTGGCCATTTGCTCATCATAGCAGCTCCGGAAGGCTAAGTATTTGCCAGTTTGAGCCATTCGTAAGCCTGCCGTGGCATAGGAAGCCATTTGCATTGGGATGAAGTTCAGGTAGAAGTGGGTGCTTTTGGGCATGTTTGAAGCCAAAAGGCTTGGGGCATCAAAGGGACGTTCCAGCAAATGCTTGCCGGTGGTGAAAATCGAGGAGCCAACAGCAGTGACCAAGAGGACATAAACGACCAGGAAATAGTTGTACCATATCTGTAGCCGGTGTTGTCGGTTGACCTCCGCCTTTGACGTGAAGAAGTTGCTGAAGATCAATATGAGCAAGCTGGGAAGGAAACTCAAAGCAACCGTGAGAGCAAAGGATGCCATGAGGCCGTTCCACAAGGTTGCGATCACTGGGAGCTGTTCGATCAGGTACTTGAAGAAGGGGATCTGATTCTCCAAGGTGCTCAAGTTGGCAATGGACTGTATAAGAACGACAAGCGGCATGAAGCCCCAAAAAACCAAGAAGATCACAAAATACCCCAATAACTCTAGTACCGCTTGCCGCTCGGGACTCACACACAGGTCTGGCCACAAGACCTCCGCGGGATCAGGTGGTAAGTCCGCACGAATGCCATCGTTGTCATCTGCTGAGAGCAACCGGTATGCCAAAGCAGCCTGGATTGCTCTCAGGATTATTCTCGTTTTACATGGCCCCCCAAACTCCCAAGACGTCAAAAACATCAAGTTTTTCACACAAAGCTCTCCCAACAAGGGGATGTGGGCACCTTCCAACAGAGCTCTCCCCAGGCTCTCAAATTCGAACCATTGGTGCTTCCAGGCAGCTTCCCGCCGGCGCTGAAACGTGACGAAGGCACAACTGTGATTTAAGTCATCAGACCGAAGAGTTTCCTTGAACGCATGCCGCGTGGGGCTCACACAAGTGAAGGGTGGAAAAGGTCGGCCAATCGAAAGGAAGGATATACATATGTGCAGAGTGCAGTATGTTGAACCTTGTTGGAATACCACTGATGGGCAAGAAATAAAAGAAAGCACTCTCTATAATCAGGTGTCTGCCCTCAACTTTTCTGCCATGCTTTCAGCCACCGCATGCAACTCAGCATCCTTCAGAACCTTTCCCGTGCCTGTGCGGAAGGAGACCTTCCCACGGAGACTTTCTTCTGCTGTACGCTTCCATTGCAGCAACTCGCGGGTGTCCTTGGCAAAGTACACTTGCTTTACGGCACTGTATCCGAAGATGCCATCATCGAAGAAGGTTTGAAGTTCTTTGGTGGTCTTTAAGTGCTCTGGGATATTCTGCAAGAGGACGCTGGTCACGGCTGGCTCTGGCATCTCCTTTAACCATCGCATGCGCAAAGGCAAGAAATTCTTCTGAGAACGATGGACTTGGGCATGCACCACCAGAGCCACATACCAAACCATAAAGGCATGAACCCAACAAACCCAAGAGCCATGCTGAACATTTCCCATTCCAATGGTTGAAAGGCGATCCTGCCCTGCTGCTCCCCCACCACAAAAAGCATGAAGCGGGCAAAGGATCAAGACACAAGGCATGCCAACCAAAACGCAAAGCCTCATGGCTAGCTCAAGAAACTCTAAATGCATTGCATGATCCAGACCAGCTTTCTCTTCAACTTCGTCCTTTGAGATGGTCCAGCTATGGCCTATCCAGCTGAAAAAGCCTTGTCCCTGCCGGGTGGCCTGGGGCAGTGGGCTGCCGTTCCCTCCGTCCACAGATCCCTTGTTTGTGTCCCGGTCTCTGGAGCTTGTGCGGCTGAAGGACCGAGGCAACACTTGACGTAAAACGGACAAGATGAAAAAGGCCAAGAGAACGGTGAAGACGTTGGTGCTTAGGGAACTCAGAAAAACCACCAAGTCTCCAGACTTGTTCGCGCTGACTCCCTCCACTGCGGCAGCGGTACTGTTCTCTAAACTGAGACCCGCGAAGCCTCGAGTGACTTGACCAGCCTCAAAGTCTTCAAGCTGATGCGATGAATGGGCGCTTTGGACTAATTGCCTAGCCCACTCTTTGCTGCTGTCGACTGTGGCATCCTCAAAGTCAGCGATTCGAGCGGAGCTTTGCAAAAGGCCCCGTGCTTTCCATGCTTTTTGCACTCCTTCCTCAGCCTCGCAAACGCCCATGCCTGCGATACCGTTTATGGATAGAATCCGGGCATGAGTACAGTCACCTGACGAACTCGTGACATAGAGAACGATATAATGACATTTGTTAAACCCTGTGCGCATGCAAATCCATCTCACAACAGTATGATTCAGTATGATATACAAACACCGGTTAAGTCACGACAGTCGCCCAGATTCAATTGAACAGGTAAGGTGTTTCGTGTTGGGTTTGAGCCAACTTTGGCAGCAATTTGGGCGCAGGACGCACGCGTCTCAGCCAAAACCTGATTCTTGGCAGGTCCAAAGAACAAGCCTTCAGTCTCCCCGTGCCACCGTGGCACCAATTGACCACGGTGAAGATTGCAAAATTATACCTTGGCTGATTTAGTTCGATTCACTGCACGGTCGCAATGCAAAAGCCATGAGGGAGAACTGTGGCGGGGCTGATTATGCAGGCAAGGTCACACATAAGTCATTTTCGGAATGTCAGCACAATGACGGCAAACCACGAAGCCGTGGGCTAGATTAGCGCCTTCGAAGAAAATGTTTGCCACAATGATGCTCCCTGCCAGCGCGGAGAAAAGAGAACAACTTGCTGCAACTTTTTGACGGTCACTTTACAGTCTGCCGTTCAAGAAGGCTGGCGTCTGGCCGCACTAGCGTGTCTTGCCAAGATGCTGATAAAAAGCTCCTCGGCCGCAGCTAAGTAAAGTTGGACATGGATATGGGCCGCAAGGCAGACAGAACAAATGCCATCCCCCGTTGCCTCTTTACATAAGCATGCGAAAGCCCAAAGCAAGGGTACAGGTATTGCAGAGGTCGTGGAGAATATTGCAGCCCTCGCTGGCAAACCCACCAGACAAAGCTCTGCAATATGTTGAGGAAGGCAATGCACCCCCCTAGCCCACGAGAAATGGAGATATGGGGTGGACGCTGGCGTCCAACGAAAGGGGATGGCTGGATTGTCTGTGCCGGTTTGGGGCCGCAGGTCTTAAAGGGTCAGAAGGAGAAAAAAAGAGAGAGAGAGAGAGAGCGGAAGGGTCAACCTGGTTGGGGGTCTTTGTGCCAAAATATGTGTGGACCCCGTTCTTTGAATACAGTAGGAAAATTACGTGAGAACTGTTATTCGTTTTTCGGCTGAGGATTGTGGGCCGTGTGCTGGTGTCCTTTTCTTTTGAGTTGCTGGCAAATCTCGAAGGAAGGAGGAGGGGAAGAGATATCCCGAGCCCAAAGAAACAATGCGGGCGAAGCACCGCGTCAGTTCCAAATGGAGAAGCAAGTTGCAAACCCAACGCAATGATAGCAGCAAGCCTTGGCTGGATACAGTCACTGGGCGCATCTTATCCATTGAATGTGCCAGGAAAGCTCGAATCAGCAAACAACGATACCGTCAGTACCATGTGATGTTTGACCAACCCAGTTTGGCCATGCGTATTCCAAAAAGAACTTGCTAGTATTTTTTTGGCGTGGGGTCCAGCCCTGTAGATTGCAAGAATATGCCAAGATTGCCAAGACTCACTTGTATTTTGAAGATTATTGGGGGGGAAAACGCGCCAAGTCGCAATACTGTGGCCCAAAACATGCCAAAGCGCCAAACGTGCGCATGACGATGCCACATTCCTGCCGCATAAAACGCAAACTGTGTGACAGCTTTGTTTGACACCACTGACTGGGCACACCTAAAACCACTGCTCTGATGGGAATCTTGGAAAACACCTTCATGTTGTCCCAGTTGTTCCACACCTATCAGTCGGCTCACATCATCAAGCTCGACCACTTGCAGCCAAATGCCGGGAAGAGGCCATTGAAAGAATGCTGACTACCTTCAGTTTCAGGATGTCGGGCAAGTACAGGACTTTCACCTGCCGCAAGCATTCTAGATTGAGAAGCACTCAGGAGAAAACAACGATGCCCACAAACGCACAAAAACACAGAGTGGCGGAGCCTTGCAGAACTACAGTCTATAGAGCAATTAGTTGTAGTGTTTACCGTTTCTGTGCCCATACAAGTCTTCGCAAGGCACCTTGCATGCAAGCGTTTCTTGAACAAATGCACCCCCACGAACTCAGCCTTGACTTTGTAGACGTCCGTGTGAAGCAGTGGATCGTTTGGCAATTCGCGGCGAAACTCTTTGTGCCACGCGGGCGCCTCAAAAACCACAGCATTCTTCACCACAAAGCTTACAAACAAGAATATAGACCTGTACTTCGCACCATCTGATAGAAGCACACTGAACTTGCAATTTTAATACTGACTGTCTTTCACGTATTCTTCATCCGCTAGTTGGGACTGCTGTCTGCTCAAAAGTCTTCTAGTTATATATATATATACCTGAGAGGGGGGGGGCGAAAGCCAGCAGCCGCCAGACGAGTGTCTCTTTTTCTGGCGGGCGTCGCGGCACAACACACATGGTCGGAAGCTTGCGAGTCAGCGGTGCTGCGGATGCGGGGGGGGGTATGTAGAAGAGAAGTCCGACACTTGTATGTTGGTGTGGGTCATCATCACAAGGCAATGGCATGTGTTTGTCACACGCGGGAAGGTATGCATCTTATGGAAGTTGGAAGGCGACATCAGCGTTAGCGCAGGGGAAATACCGTCTCAATTCGAGTGATGGGATACCGCGCCGCACATGCCTGGACTTGAGTGTCATGTTCTGGCTCGGTCCAAAACACAGTCTTTTTCCTTGAACGGGGCCTGTATTAAACGATCCAAGCACCTTCCTTATTCTTCTCTTTCTTATCAACTCTGCGCCTTTCTCACTCAGAGGCCTTGACTTTGGCACCTGCGTGTGTAGATCTTTGGCCCAGGCTGACTGGATTCGGCCAAGGCTGCCAGCAAAAAGGGGACGTCATGAGTCAGTAGCTATAGAATTTATCTATCTATCTATCTATCTATCTCTATCTACCTACCTATCTGCATCGGCAAGCCGGAAAAACGTTCGGTGCGCGTGGGCGCCGCGAGAAGCATCCACTCGACCAAGGACATGGTGCAAGTATAGCTTTTGCTATGGGGCAGGAGCCCTGTACGGATATGTAGTCAACCTCGCAGGGATCCGCGTTCCATATGGATTTCGCGAGTTACGGGTTGTCCTGCGAACTCGTATCCTACATGCAGCTGCGGTCTGCTCTGTACGTGGGTCCCTGTCTCAACTCGATTGCTCAATGCCCATTGTCCAAGTAGCCCCAAAGCCCTTCATGATGCTAATGATGCACTACTCGGCGTCCATTACATCACTCGCATCACCAGACCTTATTTTCACTGCTTTTCTGACCCTCGCTTTGGAGCGCTCAACCCCACCAATCTCTGGGTTCACCCTATCCAAAGGTCCTCCTCAGCGACCAACCCCCCCCACACCCCCTCAACTCACTTCGTTCGCCCTAAAAGCTCAAGCCTAGCCTACCGGCTGGCTTCCGTCATCCCGTCATTGGCTACATCGCCACTCCAAACTATCGAAAGCCATATTGGCACCATGGTGCGGAAAAAAGGTCATAGCGATCTCATTGTGAATTGATGGACGTTCATGCCAGTGGGTCCACTACAATAACAGGTTTTGCAGATATGTAAAAACAGCAAGTGCATGGCAGACCGGAACCCGGAAGCAGGTCACATCGGAGCCACAACACTCAGCACCTAGATGACGTTTGCACTTCGCATGAGGGGCATGGTGAGAAAAAACACATATATGCATACAGAATCATACAGAGAGAGAGAGAGAGGAAAAATAAAGGTGCACGTGCTACCTGGCCTCCAGCTTCTTGGAGATGACGACAAGGGGGAAGTCTTCCCTCGTCGGGGTTCTCGACAGCTCTCCAGGCTGACCGTCAGCGACAAATGAGATGGATTGGCCTCGTCCGCCCTCTGTTCGGACGTAGGGGGTCTCTGTTTTGTCAAAGTCAGCATGTGAAGTCGGGTTCTTCTGAACCATGATCTTCGCCAGTTCCTCTGCCCATCTGTCTGAATAAGGCACCAGACCGAGGGCCTCAGGAAAGTTGGATTCAATGAGGCCACAACACGCACAGGTTTTCGCGGCCTGAAGGGTGCTATCCAGAAGCCTTGCTACAACGTTACATCAGCCCTTCTCAAAAACTATGGGAGCAGCCTGGAGTAGAAGCTACAAGAGTGCACTAGAACCTGGACCTGTAGGAAACTAAACGACAAGCTCAACAGCCAATGCCAAGCGAGTTCCAATCTTTTCTTCTAAAGGTTTATGGTGGGAGATTGTGACGCCCCAAGCAGAAGTAAAACAAGTTCTCAGCGGACCGTATTAAAAACTGGCATCAAGAAATGGTCGGAGCACCCGATGGAACGCCACTCCATCATTCTAGCACACACTATCATAATCCCGTCAGGCCTAGTTTTTAGCGTTCGAACGAAAAGAATTGTATACAGTATGCACATGCAGATGTGTAAAGTGACAGAGGTTGCAACACCAACAGAAACAAATCTACACGTAACACGCTTTCAGATTCAAAGCCCAAGACCACACGTAGGCCGCCCTTTAATTATTGATCGAGGGTCAAGGCAATTGCTTTGCACTACACATGCGCACAACCTGTTAATAAAACCGTTACCGCTAAAGTAACAAAACGAAAGTGAAACAAGAAAAACAAAACAATGCGGATGCATGTTGACGCAATATGTTGCAAAACATGAGGCAAAAAAACTCATCCATGATGATTCAACTGGGGCCAGGAGCAAAGCAACGTTGAAGGATTTTCAACGAAAACCAAAAGGAGAACAATCAATCAATAAGAAATGTTTTTTACAGCAGCATATCATATTCGAGAACGTGTAAGATGTAATTCATTGTAATTCATCAAGAACGGTGATATATAGAGAGAGAGAGAGAGACCTTGGATATGTCTGGAAACTCTAGGGCCCAGTGTTGCCCTTTTGGGGTCTTCTTTCCAATACGATGCATGTCCTTACCCCTTTCAGTTGAGAAAGTTGACAAGTTCTTGCAAAATCGGACCGCCAACCCTGACTTGGTCAATCCGCGGTTGGGGACTCTCAAACGAATGATACCGTAATGCTGCAAATTGACTTGACACTTGATGCGGCTCAGGTGCAACCC